CTGCCTCCTGTTTCTGGGGGGTCTGTGCATATGAAGACCAGTCTTCCTTTATTAGGATTTCCAGGTGTGCATGCCTTACCTTTCTGATTAAAACAAACCTTGCCTGCCCATTTTAAGCCCAGGCGGTAAGGACAGAAGAACAGAGGTACTAGGAAAGGATACTAAACATCCAAGCAGAAATGCCCAGCTAGCCTTTAGGGCCATGAATCTGGTGTTTCTAGAAGAGATTGCAACTAGAATTGTGAAAAATTAGTGGCTTTTAAACCCACAGGACTAGATGGGATCATCCCATGAGTAAAGGTGATTTCCAGGAATCTGGCCCCTGATAGAGAGATGAAGCAGAAGCAACACACCAGGGATGGAGGAGGAAATGCATAATAGGGAGTCATGAGAGCCGATGTCCGAATATTCCAAAACAGGGTTGTGAGGGAGGTCCCCAGGAAAAGGGGAAGTTCCAGAGTCCCTGCTCTAAGGGAAGATGGAGCTGAGCGGGGAAGAGAGAAGCTGGAGAGGAGACTGAAAAATGATGGGAGCCAGAAGGAGACCTGGAGGAGACACTGGGGACAGAGACCTGTGAAGAAGCTGCACTGGCTTCTTGATCCTGGATTGGTTGAAAGATGTGGGTGAGAGACCCGTGGGGAGGTTCACTATGGAAGCGATTGTCGTGGCTTTGACTTTGCTCTCTTCCTTCCAGGCTGTTTGGCTGTTTCTGACCCTTTTCTGTGGATCCCCGCTGGAAGGTGCTTTAGATGTGTGGCAGGCTTTCAGGCCTCCGTGGTCCTGCTTTGGACCAATTGTGTTTGGCTGGATGTTTACCTACGAGGGGATAGGTAACTTCAGTTACTTGGAACTTGTATTTTTTTTTTCTTATCTTTGTTGCACACTAATTGTACTCAAGTTCCTTCCATTAACGGTATTACGTATTAGAGTATGTTTTGTCTTGAAATGGTGCAACCTATTTAGAGCAGACAGGTTTAGAGATTCTGGGGTGCCCCCTCTCTGTCCTGTAACAGGTTGATCGACTACACCAAATGCTGTCAAGAAAGAGAAATGCTTTCTTTCTTTGCACAAGCCACTCCAAAATTCAATGAAGACAGTAATTGTGGGCTCTTATGAGCTGGCTACGAGCTCGCTAAGAGTTGGCCACTCATGAGCAACTATTTGCCATGTACAAATCCCAGCAGAGCGTTCCTTGACTAACTGTGAATAGCCCCAGGTATGTCCAGAGCCCCCGGGACGTCCATGTGATTACGTGACTACCTCCTTGGTGGTCTTGGATAACTCATGATGCAAATGTTTTCTGACATATGGTCACAATGTCCCCTTCCATGTCCCTTGTTAAATTTTGTCCCCCATTTCCATCCCACCCTCCAGACTTTATTCCTCGTACCATGATCAGCTTTTTGCCTGTCTAGCCTGTCTGCTTTCAATAAATGGCACAAGAACTTCTGCTCCAGTAGCAGAGTCTTGCCTTGCAAACCTGCTCCCGGATGCTGCATCTCTGGTCCTGCTGCAAAGTAGCAACAATGTTCCGGTCACCACAAACAATAAGGTATTTTTCTTGATTCTGTGAGTGAACTGGACTCAGTTGGGGAGTTTTTCCTTACATAGTTTACCTAAAACGAATCCCTTAAACTGGGACTAGACCATCAAAGATGCCCCCCAAGGGGCTTCACAAGACATGGAAATAGCCTTACAAGAGCATGCAAATCTCACTAAGCATGATCCCTTCCAGCTTCATCCATGTTGGTATAAATGGCACGAGTTTATCTTTTTGATTGCTGCGTAATATTCCATTGTGTATATATATATATATATATATATATATATATATATATATATATATATACCACATCTTCTTGACCCAGTCATCTACTTTTGGGCATTTGGGTTGATTCCACGTCTTCCTTACTATAAATAGTGCAGCAATAAATGTAGGCCAGGAAGAAAAAGAAAAATATGGGGTGGTTTCACTTATAGCAGGAGTGTAAGGGATCAGGGGGAAAAAATAATAAAGTTAAAACTGAAATCAACAAGCAACTGTAAACAAGAGAAGCCTAGGGGGTGGAGAGGGGGAAGGATCAAAACTGGGACAGGAAGAGCGCACGGGACTGTCGTGATGGCAAAGGGTGAAGCGGTGGTGGGAAGTCCACGGGGATCACACTGAGATGGGAAAATGTACAAAATGAAGAATGATGTAAATATATATATGTACATATATATAATTTTTAAAAAGATCCTGCAAATCAGTCTGGAGAGCAAAGGAGAAGGGAATGTGAGAAATGGTACAAAAGACCAGAGGCTGAATCTGAATTAGGTGAAAAATGCTGCCGTGATGAAGGAAACAGAGGAAATCTGGGCTACAAAG